GTAGTGAGCCATGATCATGCCCACTGCACTCCAGCCTGGGGACAGAGTGAGATGCTCTCTCAAAAAATAATAAAAATTTTTTTAAAAAGGCCAGGTGTGGTGGCTCATGCCTGTAGTCACAGCACTTTGGGAGGCTGAGGCAGGCGGATCACGAGGTCAGGAGATCAAGACCATCCTGGTTAAGACGGTGAAATCCCATCTCTACTGAAAATACAAAAAATTAGCCGGGCATGGTGGTGGGCACCTGTAGTCCCAGCTACTTGGGAGGCTGAGGCAGGAGAATGGCAGGAACCCAGTAGGCAGAGCTTGCAGTGAGCTCCGCCTCATTTAAAATCGTGCCACTGCACTCCAGCCTGGGCAACAGAGCAAGACTCCATCTCAAAAAACAAACAAACAAAAACTCATCAGGTACTGTGGGATGGAGACAAGTAAACACTTAACCTTTTATTTATTATCTATTGAAAGCCAATTATGTATCAGGCTTTGTGCTAGATGCCAATAATTGCATTATAACGTGTAATAAAAGTGATAGCTACTACTTATTGGAGTGCACCATAGTATGCATTGTCTTACCAGTCTTCAGAAAGTCCTTTGCTATAATACGTACATACATTGTACAGATTTTGGGGTTTTGTTGTTGTTGTTGTTGTTTTCGGAGACAGAGTTTTGCTCTTTCTCCCAGGCTGGAATGCAGTGGCGTGATCTCGGCTCACTGCAACCTCTGCCTTCGATTTCAATGATTCTCCTGCCTCAGCCTCCTGAGTAGCTGGGACCACAGGCGCCACCTGTGGTACAGACGGGATTTCACCATGTTGGCCAGGCTGGTCTAGAACTCCTGACCTCAGGTGATCCACCCACCTTGGCTTCTGAAAGTGCTGGAATTACAGACATGAGCCACCGCACCCAGCCCTGTTTGTTTTTTTTTTTTTTTTTTTTTTTTTTTTTTTTTTGAGACGGAGTCTCGCTCTGTCGCCCAGGCTGGAGTGCAGTGGCCGGATCTCAGCTCACTGCAAGCTCCGCCTCCCGGGTTCACGCCATTCTCCTGCCTCAGCCTCCCGAGTAGCTGGGACCACAGGCGCCACCACCTCGCCCGGCTAATTTTTTGTGTTTTTAGTAGAGACGGGGTTTCGCCGTGTTAGCCAGGATGGTCTCGATCTCCTGACCTTGTGATCCGCCCATCTCGGCCTCCCAAAGTGCTGGGATTACAGGCTTGAGCCACCGCGCCCAGCCACCTGTTTGTTTTTTATTAGAGATGAGGACTCATTATGTTGCCTAGGCTAGTTGTGAACCCCTGGCCTCAAGTGATCCGCTCATCTTGGCCTCCCAAAGTGCTAGAACTACAGTCATGACCACTTTACACATTTGGAAGCAGAGACTCAGAGAGAAGTAAAGGGATTTGCCTGATGTTACACAGTGTATTAGTCAGGGTTCTCCCAAGAACAGAACACATAGGATATATACAGAGAGAGATGAGAGGGGATTTATTAGGGAAATTGACTCATGGGATTATGGAGACTGAGAAGTCCTAGGATAAGCCATCTACAAGCTGGAGAACCGGGAAGCTGGTAGCATGGCTCAATCCAAGCCTTTTGGTCCCAGGCTGAAGGCCTGAGAACGTTGGGGGTGCTGCTGGTACAAATTCCAGAGAAGGCAAGAGACCCTGGAGTTCTGATGTTTAAGGGCAGAAGGCAGGTGTCCCAGCTCTAGAAAAAGAGAGAGAGAGAAAGGGAGTGAATTCACCTTTCCTGTCTGCCTTTTTGTTCTATCCTGGCCCTCAGCAGACTGAATGGTGCCCACCCACGTGGGTGTGGGTGACTCTTCCTCACTCAGTCCACTGATTCAAATAGCAGTCTCTTCAGGAAACGTCCTCCCAGACATACACAGAAATCATGCTTTATGAGTTATCTGGGTATCCCTTAATCCAGTCAACATGACACCTAAAAATCACCATCACTCACAATAAAAATGACAGAGCTGGAATTTGAACCCTGGGCCGTTGCCCTCCGCAGTCTCTTAATCTCTGTGCTATTCCACTGAGATCAGGGTAGCTTTTGTTTCCCGGTGCCATTGGAACTGAATGGCAAACCCTGCCTAATTTAGCAAGGAATAGTCTTTTGTGGGGACCTGAAATTCCAGACTCCAGGGCAGCCAAGAGAAGGAAGGCAAGAGGATGGCCTGAGCTCCCTGTTGTCCAGCCCAGCAAGAGCTTCCATGACAGCCATGGGTCAGGGGAGGAGGTGACCAGGACTGGAGCCGGAGGGGCATTTGGTCCTCTGGCCAGGCTATAGAGCAGACACAATCATCCCCATTTCCCAGAGGAGATGACTGAGGCTTAGAGAGATGAACGACCAGTTTCATGGCAGAGGCAGGGAGGCTGGTGTTCTGGCCTAAGACCATCCTGGCACAGTGGTTCCCAGCACAGACTTCAGTGCCCGACTGCCTGGTTCTGAATTCTGCTCTTCTTCTTTTTTTTATTTTTCTTTTCTTTTTTTTTTTTTTGAGACAAGGTCAGGCTGGAGTGCAGTGGTGCAATCTCAGCTCACTACAACCTCTCTCTGCCTCCTGGGCCCAAGCGATCCTCCCACCTCAGCCTCTTGAGTAGCTGGGACTATAGGCATGTCCCACCACGCCCAGGTAATTTAGGTATTTTTTGTAGAGACAGGGTTTCACCGAGTTTCCCTGGCTGGTCTCCAGCTCCTGGGCTCAAGCAATCCACCCACCTCAGCCTCCCAAAGTGCTGGGATTACAGGTGTGAGCCACCATGCTGGCCTGAATCCTACTTTTCTACCTGGTAGTAATAAGCCTTTGAGTCAGAGTCACCGACTCTTTGGACTTCTAATTTCCTTATCTGTACAACTGGGAATAATAATGGAACCTACTTTGTTGAGTGGTTTCAAGAATTAGGTGAAATAACCTAACCAAACATGGCAGATGGGAGTGCAAATCAATGTGAACTATTATTTCCGTATTCCGCGTTACTCAGGGGACAAGATTTTTCCTGAACCAAGTCCATGGGCAGCAGGCCCCTCCAACCAAAGTGGAGTGAGTTAAGCCCTCTGGAAAGTGGTGCTGCTGTCATGGAGCCCCATGGCTGACTGGGTGTCCTCCCGTTGCTCAGATACCTTTGGACCTGGCATCTCAAGAACAACAGATAAGGTGCTGCAGTTCATACCTGTGGAGGCCCAGGCACCTGTTGCTTCCTGTCCCCCGCTTCCAAGCAAAGAAGGCCCCACCCTCTTCTCAGGGCAAGGGAATCAGGTGCCAGAACTGTGTCCACTTGGGATGGAGAAAAAAACCCTTCCCCAACCAACCCTCCCCAGGCTCGGCAGCCAATGAAACCACACCCTGCCGAGTTCAGCCTAGCCCACACCAAAGACGTTTGGAGACAAAGGGCGCTCTGATTTTACCTGCTGTAATTAAAATATTTCATTTTCTTAGTGTATACCCGTGAATCCTTGATGTGACATCCATACAGATGAATTTGCTTTCAAAAAAAGGGACTTTGTGGCTAACACCATTTATTTATTCGTTTATCACATCCCAGGAGGCAGGCAGACAACGTAGTGTAGGGAACTGACAGGTCTCGAGAACTTTTTATTTTTTTTTTTTAAGCAATAGGGTCTCGCCTCTGTCACTCAGGCTGGAATGCAGTGGTGGGATCATAGCTCACTGCAACCTTGAACTCCTGGGCCCAAGGGATCCTCCTGTGTCAGCCTCCTGAGTAGCTGAGACTAACAGGTATGTGCCACCACGCCTGGCTAATTTTTTAGTTTTTTATTTTCTGTACAGTCGGGGGGGCGGTTCTCACTATGTTGCCCAGGCTGGTCTTGAACTCCTGGTCTCAAGTGATCCTCCTTCCTTGGCTTCCTAAACTGCTGTGATTACAGGTGTGAGCCACGGTGCCCAGCCGTGGGCGCTTGAATCCTTGATGTAAAGTCTATATAGTTTAAATTCCCTTCAAAAAAGGTACTTTGTAGCTAACATCATTCATTTATTTTTATTTACTTTTTTGAGACAGAGTCTTGCTCTGTCGCCCAGGCTGGACTGCAGTGGCACAATCTTGGCTCACTGCAACTTCCACCTCCTAGGTTCAAGCGATTCTCCTGCCTCAGCCTCCCAAGTAGCTGGGATTACAGGCGTGCCCCACCATGCCTGGCTAATTTTTGTATTTTTAGTAGAGACAGGGTTTTGCCATGTTGGCCAGGCTGGTCTCAAACTCAAGTGATCCACACACCTTGGCCTCCCAAAGTGCTGAGATTACAGGCGTGAAGCACCGTACCTGGCCTCATTTATTTATGAAATCCCAGGAGAAGGCCAGAACATGGTGTAAGGAATTGACAAGTCTTATGACTTGAAGCAAAATTTATTTCCTTCTCTAAGTCTCAATTTATCTTCTGTAAAATGACTCAGTTAGTTAGAAGGAGGCTTGAGATCTCTTGTGCCTCTAATAACCATGACATTGAGCTTCTTGAGATTGAAAACTGGCACTGCACAGGATCCCATTTTTTTCTTTAGGGGGCCAGGAGTTCTCAAGTGAGGGGTGTTTACGGAATCATGATGCTGTTAATTGCTTTTCAGTATTTAGACTCAACCTCCAGACAAAGTACAGAAGATTTAATTATAGCTAAAGAACAAGATGTAAATGTTATGAATAATATATAACTATTAAAAATTGGGAATTGCTTGGGAGGGAAGCCAGGAAGCTTGAGAAGGACATTAAATTCCTCATCTTCAGCTGGGCGCGGTGGCTCACGCCTGTAATCCCAGCACCTGGGGAGCCCGAGGCGGGCGGATCACGAGGTCAGGAGATCACGAGCATCCTGGCTAACACAGGTGAAACCCTGTCTCTACTAAAAATATAAAAAATTAGCCGGGCGTAGTGGCGGGCGCCTGTAGTTCCAGCTATTCGGGAGGCTGAGGTAGGAGAATGGCGTGAACCTGGGAGGCGGAGGTTGCAGTGAGCCGAGATCGCGCCACTGCGCTTCAGCCTGGGCGACAGAGCGAGACTCCGTGTCAAAAAAAAAAAAGATTCCTCATCTTCGAACTGGTATTTCTCTAGAGAAGGAGAATTGGGCTGAGTGGTGAGTTCATAATTATTCACTATATTATTATACTTTATAATTTATATATGTGACATATTTATTCTCTTTATATGTCAAATATTCTCTCTCTAAAAGATTAAAAAAAAAAGTAATAGAGGCAGCGGATCACCTGAGGTCAGGAGTTTGAAGTCAGCCTGGCCAACATGGTGAAACCGTGTCTCTACTAAAATACAAAAATTAGCCGGGCATGGTGGTGGGTGCCTGTAATCCCAGCAACTCGGGGAGCTGAGGCAGGAGAATCCCGGGAACCTGGGAGGTAGAGATTGCAGTGAGCCGAGATCACGCCACTCCATTCCACTCCAGCCTGGGTAACAAGAGTGAAACTCTGTCCCAAAAATAAAAAATTTAAAAATCCGTGTTGAAGGTCCTACTCCCTCCACTGTCCACAAAGATGACCCAACCAATCTGGTGCTACCAACTGCCCCTATTTGCCTGGGATCCTGGGTTGCTGGGGGTGTAAGACTTTCAGTGCTAAACCCATGAAAATCCCAGGTAAACTGGGAGAAGTTTGTTCCCTTCCCAGAGTCAGTGAGGACTGATTGGATGGATTGTCCACCCCACGCGCTCACCTACTCATGTATTTGTGGAAGGGCTGTGTCTTGGTCTTGCCAGGTGTTGTAGGTGGGAAGGGTGGAGCTGGCCGGGCTGGACTCAGACTGTAGCCAGTGGCAAGAGATTCCTGCCAGGGTGGAGACCTGCAGAGCAGTAAAACCTGGGCAAAGGACAAGGGTTCCAATGAGGCCTAGAAAATTTCAGAGTCCAGATACAGGATGAGGTGTCTATAATTCTCCAGAGTAACTGTCCAACTTTTCAGGTCACATTCATTCAGTCACTCACTCATTCATTCATTCCTTCAATAAACACTCACTGGCACCAGCATGCACAAATGCTTAGCTGGTGACAGGGGCTGCTCCCTATCCTGAAGAAGCTTTTGATCTGATGGAATAAACAGACAAGGGAGCCAGGGATTTACAACCCAGAGCAGTAAGCAAGGATAATGCCTTTGTTGTTGTTGTCGATAGTCTTGCTTATCTCCCAGGTTGGAGCACAGTGGTGCCATCTCAGCTCACTGCAACCTCTGCTTCCCAGGTTCAAGCAATTCTCCTTCCTCAGCCTCCTGAGTAGCTGGAGTTACAGGCACCTGCCACACATCCAGCCAATTTTTGTATTTTTAGTGGAGATCGGGTTTCATCATGTTGGCCGGGTTGGTATCAAACTCCTGACCTCAAGTGATCTGCCCGCCTCAGCCTCCCAAAGTGTTAGAATTACAGGCGTGAACCGCCACGCCTAGCCAACAAGGATGATCTTAACAGTTATTTATTATTATCATTTTTTTGAGACAGTTTCAAAAATGTGATGGGGAGCAAAGTGACATTTAAACTGAGTTAACCAGTGTTTGTGGCAGAAGTCACCACCTGGGAAAAGGCCGGGAAGGGAGAAGAGCTTGGTCTAGCCAAGAAGGGAGAGGTGGGAGGTTAGACTAAAGAGCAGGGGAGGAGCCGGGCATGCTGGCTTACACCTGTAATCCCAGCACTTTGGGAGGCTGAGATGGGCAGATCACTTGAGGTCAAGAGTTTGAGACCAGCCCTAGCCAATATGGTGAAATGCAATCTCTACTAAAAATACAAAAATTAGCCGGGTGTGGTGACATGTGCCTGTAGTCCCAGCTATTTAGGAGGCTGAGGCAGGAGATTGCTTGAACCCAGGAGGTGGAGGTTGCAGTGAGCCAAGATCACGACACTGCAGTCCAGCCTGGGCAACAGAGCCAGACTCTGTCACAAAAAAAAAAAAAAAAGAAAAGAAAAAGAAAAAGAAAAGAGCAGGTAAGGACCAGGTGGGGTAGAGGTGGGGGTTGTGTTAATCATGGTCAGCAGATTGCACTGTGTCTGGAGACCAATAGGGAGCCACTGCAGGATTGTCAGCCAGGTGTGGTGGATCATAACCAGCACTTTGGGAGGCCAAGGCAGGCAGATCACTTGAGCCCGGGAGTTGAAGACCAGCCCGGGCAGCATGGTGAAACCCTGTCTCTACAAAAAACACAAACATTTGGCCAGGAGTGGTGGTTCATGCCTGTAATCCCAGCACTTTGGGAGGCTGAGGCAGGAGCACCGCTTGAGCCTAGATTAAGACCAACCTAGGCAACATAGTGAGACCTCATTTCTAAAACAAAAAAAAACAAAAGATAGCTTAGTACAGTGGCATGCACCTTTCGTCCCAGCTACTGGGAAGGCTGAGGCGGGAGGATCACCTGAGCCCAGGTAGGTCCAGCCTTCGGTGAGTCACTGCACTGAAACCTGGGCTACAGAACAAGACCCTGTTTCAAAAATGAATAAAATGAAATGAAATAAAAAGTTCAGGGATGGCCGGGCGTGGTGGCTCAAGCCTGTAATCCCAGCACTTTGGGAGGCCGAGATGGGCGGATCACGAGGTCAGGAGATCGAGACCATCCTGGCTAACACGGTGAAACCCCATCTCTACTAAAAAATACCAAAAAAAAAAACTAGCTGGGCAAGGTGGCGGGCACCTGTAGTCCCAGCTACTCGGGAGGCTGAGGCAGGAGAATGGCGTAAACCCGGGAGGCGGAGCTTGCAGTGAGCCAAGATCCAGTCACTGTACTCCAGCCTAGGCGACAGAGCGAGACTCCACCTCAAAAAAAACAGTCCAGGGATGAGCTGGGCGCAGTGGGTCACGCCTGTAATCCCAACCCCTGGGAGGTTGAGGTGGGCAGATCACCTGAGGTAAGGAGTTTGAGACCAGCCTGACCAACATGGTGAAACCCCGTCTCTACTAAAAGTACAAAAAGTAACTGGGCATGGTGGTGCATGCCTGTAATCCCAGCTGCTCGGGAGGCTGAGGCAGGAGAATCACTTGAACCTAGGAAGCAGAGGTTGCAGTGAGCTGAGATGGAGGCACTGCACTCCAGCCTGGGTGACAGAGTGAGACTCCGTGTCAAAAAAAAAAAAAAAAAAAAAAAAAAAAAAAAAAGGCCTGGCATGGTAGCTTACGCCTGTAATCCCATCACTTTGGGAGGGCAAGGCAGGCAAATCACAAGGTCAGGAGATAGAGATCATGATGGCCAACATGGTGAAACCCCATGTCTACTAAAAATACAAAAAATTAGCCAGGTGTGGTGGCATGCGCCTGTGGTCCTGGCTACTCTGGAGGCTGAGGCAGGAGAATTGTTTGAACCTTTTTCACTCTGTCCCCCAGGCTGGAGCGTAGTGGTGAGATCTTAGCTCACTGCAACCTCCACCTTCCCGGTTCAAGCCATTCTCATGCCCCAGCCTCCCCAGTACCTGGGATTACAGGCGCCTGCCACCAAGCCCTACTTATTCGTCAGCTGTTTATCATCCCCTTCAGGGAACTGAGGCCCCTGGAGGACAGGGCCAGGTCTATCCTGTTTGTCACCATATTCCTGGTGCCTAGCATGGGCCCTGAAACAGAGCTGACTGAGGTAAATATCTGTTGAATGAGTAAAGGATTGATTGAATGGTTATAGTCCTGGCAGCCAGGACTACTGAACTCTAAGCTGGCTGTGTGACCTTAAGCAATTGGGTTCCCCTCTCTGAGCCTCCATCTTAGCCTCTGTAAAGTAGATCAGGTCAGTGTCATGCAAACTTTTTCAGTCAGAACCCTCAGTAAGAAATACATTTTGTGGCCGAACGTGGTGGCTCATGCCTATAATCCTAACACTTTGGGAGGCCGAGGTGGGAGGATCACTTGAGGTCATGAGCTTGAGGCCAGTATGGCCAATATAGTGAAACCCCGTCTCTACAAAAAATACAAACATGAGCTACTCGGGAGGCTGAGGTTCGAGAATCACTTGAATCTGGGAGACGGAGGTTGCAGTGGGCCAAGATCACGCCACTGCACTCCAGCCTGGGCGACAGAACAAGACTCCGTCTCAGAAAAAAAAAAAAAAGAAATGTATTTTGCATCCTACCGGGGCACACTGAAATTGGGTTTTCACAATGTGTATAACATTTCCTTTCTTATGTGGAATGAACTCTGATATTTTCTTTTTTGTTTTTTGGGTTTTTTTTTTTTTTTTTTTTTTTTTTGAGACAAGTCTGGCTCTTGTTGCCCAGGCTGGAGTGCAATGGCGCGATCTCGGCTCACTGCAACCTCTACCTCCCAGGTTCAAGCGATTCTCCTGCCTCAGACTCCCGAGTAGCTGGGATTACAGGCACCTGCCACCACACCCAGCTAATATTTTTGTATTTTTAGTAGAGACAGCATTTTGCCGTGTTGGCCAGGCTGGTCTCGAACTCCTGACCTCAGGTGATCCACCCACCTCGGCCTCCCAAAGTGCCGGGATTACAGGCGTGAGCCACTGCGCCCGGCCTGAACTCTGATATTTTCTATTTTCTTCTGTTCTACTACTTTATTTTATTTTATTTTATTTTATTTTATTTTATTTTATTTATTTATTTATTTTTTGAGATGGAGTCTCGCTCTGTCGCCCAGGCTGGAGTGCTGTGGCACGATCTCAGCTCACTGCAAGCTCCGCCTCCCGGGTTCACGCCATTCTCCTGCCTCTAGCTGGGACTACAGGCGCCCACCACCTCGCCCAGCTAGTTTTTTGTATTTTTAGTAGAGACGGGGTTTCACCATGTTAGCCAGGATGGTCTCGATCTCCTGACCTCGTGATCCGCCCGCCTCGGCCTCCCAAAGTGCTGGGATTACAGGCTTGAGCCACCACGCCCGGCCTACTTTATTTTATTTTAAAGACCGAGTTTCACTCTTGTTGCCCAGGCTGGAGTGCAGGGGCACGATCTTGGCTCACTGCAACCTCCGCCTCCTGGGTTCAAGCGATTCTCCTGCCTCAGCCTCCTGAGTAGTTGGGACTACAGGCATGTGCCACCACTCCTGGCTAATTTTTGTATTTTTAGCAGAGATGGGTTTTTACCACGTGGGCCAGGCAGGTCTTGAACTCCTGACCTCAGGTGATCCGCCCGCCTTGGCCTCCCAAAGTCCTG